CGAGCCAGCCCGTGCCCGGCCGTTCTGCGGCACCCCAAGGGCTCAGCCCAAGCTCCCGGGTGCCATTTCCAGGCTGTGATCTCCCTGTTTTTCCCCTCAGGGCCCCCCAGGCTTTCCTGGAACGCCTGGCGCACCCGGATTGCCCGTAAGGACCCAGCACGGCTCTGCTCTGTGCCCTCTGTCGCTGCCGCTTGGTTTGGCTGTGTCCCCCGTCCCTGTCCCCCTTGGGAGCAGCCGCAGCCCAGCTGCCCCCCTTCCCCTTCCACCTCATCTCCATCCTCCCATTTCCACTTCCTCCATCCCCATGCAGGGGGTCCCGATGGACTCGGGGTCTGCAGGCTCAGGAATGCTCTTCCTGAGCTCAGGAACCCGGCACTGGCACTCGCCGGCCCCGTGTTGGGGCCCTTCAGCGCCGTGGGACCCGGCTGTGCCGGGGATGGCCGCAGCCCCCGGGCTGGCTCAGCTCAGCAGCTCTCGGGGTACCGGGGAGCCGATATCCCGGGTTGGTACCTGCAGCTCGTCGCAGCTCCCGTGGGGCGGGCTGGGTGCAGCAGATGGCACCGGGCTGCTGTCCCTTCCCCGGCTGCCCCCGGGGACTCCCCTGGTGGGGGCCGGGAGGATCCCCCCTGTGCAGCCAGTGCTGCCGGGGGCGCTCATCCTCATCCTCCTCCTCCCCTGGTCCCCAGCTCCTCTGGGGTCAGCCAGCCTCCACCACCATCTCCATCTCGCTCTTCATCTCCATCTCACTCTTCATCTCCATCTTGCTCTTCATCTCCATCTTGATCTTCATCTTCATCCTCGTCTCCATTTTCATCCTCGTCTTCATTTTCATCCTCGTCTCCATCTTCATCCTCATCTCCATCTTCATCCTCATCTCCATCTTCATCCTCCTGCTTCCAGCCGTGCTCCCTCCTAGCACGAGGCAGCAGCGGGGTTGTGCCGGCGGCTCTCGGAGGATCCTGCCCTCCCTCGCCCATGCCGGCCGTGTCCTGCTCCTGTCCCCTTCTCCACTAATGTCACTGTAACACCACGGTCTGTGGGGGTCTCTGTGGATCTGTGTGGGTCTCTGTGGGTCTGTGTGGGTCGTGGCTCTGCGGTGTGCCAGTGTGTCCTGTCCAGCATCCTCCGCCTCGGCACCGTGTCACCTCACTAACCTGCCCCAGTAGTCCCGTGACACGGATCCCGGGGGGCTCCCGGCTCTCACCCATGTCACCGGTGCCTGGCGTGCCCTGGGAGGACAGGGAGGCAGCGGGTGGCACCAGGCTGGAGCTGTGGTTTGAAGCGTGCCCCGGGCAGTGGCCGGGGTGCCAGGAGCTGGGAACCCCCCCCAGCCCCCC